CGGTACGAGAACCACAGCCGAAACCAAAGTTTTCGCAGACTCTCTATTCTGGTACTGATACCGAAAATTACATTATATACATCATATGAAACTGAGAAAGAAGCCTCAATAATAATATTAGTGTGAGCTTAACATAAACCGTAAGTGATCATATCACTTCCACATCCTCTTCCAAACACCTGTCGAAGCAATAGGCATTTAATGTTTTTAATCTGTCCTCATAAACCAGCTACTTCAGCCACTTACTTTTGCTGTTGTTCTTTGAATTCTCGCAAATTAGCCTTGCTTTCAGATATCCAGGTGTCAAGAATTGAAAAGCCCACAGCCGAACTGTAGCATACTGACACCACAAGCCCCAGGCTTCCATGCATCTCCCCAAACCGTACTTTTCAATGCCTTAATCACCACTATGACAGCGGCACGGTTAATTGGCCATCCCCAGTCATAACCCTGGCTCCTTTGATATACAGACTTTACAGCTTTCTGCACTGAATAACTGCTCCAGTTGTCTCTTCCCTTGGCCTTCAGCAATGCAAGTTTCTGCGGATTCTCATTTCTTGTCTATATTCCCAACCTCCTTTTTTCCCCTTAAATACCTGCAAATTTGACACAAAATCAAATGAGTCCAGGGGTTCCTTGTAGCTCCATCCCAGCTACCATATCACATAATGTCCCTCTTAAACACTGCAGCCACATCTTAAAACCAAGTAGGTTTTTTCACCCCCAATTAATCTTGCCAAAAAGCTGTTCCAAGCAGGGTACCAAGGAGAGAGTTGTCTGTATGCCTGACTTCCAAATCTTTTTCATTAAAGCTAGAAAAGATGTTCTGGACATGAAATGCCTTTAATTTTAATTTTTTAGAAAAAAAAAAATCAAGACATTTACTGCACAGTTTTCAAGGTCAGTGCCACTTCTTTGTTGGTTTTGATCTTGCAGACGTGTCTGTAGTTGAGAAAAAACCAGCAACATAAATTAAGTCCATCTTTCCCCTGCGGTTTTGCAACATATTTCTAACAACCCAACAAACAAGCAACAGCAATAGGGAAACATTCCCAAGTCCCAGAGCAGACTCCCTGCTGCGCTTTTTCCGTGGAGAAAGATAATAGTCAATAGGAATCCAGCTGAAATTTTGCTCTGAATTAGTACAGCCAAATGAGAAGCCACAAGTCACCCTGGGCAAGTACAAAAGTAAGACTTCTCTTCTTTCTTTTAGTCCTTCTTGTAATCGACAGCATCCACTGAAAGCCATGAGGAGCAAACCAGCCAAACAGAAACAGAACTGCGAAAGCACCGAGGCATGCGGAGGAGACAAGTTTCGCATTCAGAAAGCTTGCGCCTTCAAAATAGTGCCAAATCTCATTTCTGCCAGGCCCGTTACTTTGGGGAGTCACGCCTGAGCGGCGCCTTCCAGCTGCTGGCGGGGCACCCCAAGGGCAGGCCTGCGGCGCAGCACCCTCGCACATCTGGAGCCCTCCTGCAGCCGCCAGCTCCCACCCTCCCCGGCTCGCTGGAGAGATGTTGTCATTGATTTGGTAACCACGGGCAGGAGCCTCCCAGGGAGTCTCTGCTTCGGATCCTTCAGGGGTGCTGGGAGGGAAGGGGGCAGGCAGACATGCAGGCGTCAGTCTGGAGAGGTGAGGGGGGAAATGCTTTTGGACAAGAGGAAGGGCAGATGTCGTGCAGCCAGCCAAAATGGACATCCCTAGCAGAGCCCTCTGCCCCCACAGCACTTCACCAGGGAGTGCAGGAGGGATGAGACAGAGCTGTACATAGGCAGGGTCAGTTTGGTTTTCTTTTCTTCTTTTTTTTTTTTTTAAAAAAAGCCTCATGCTTTGTGCCTGTTCTCTGAAAAATACAACTTACCAGCCTGCCCCAAACACCACACCAGTCCCACCCCTGATTTACGCACACAGCTGTGCGGGGGGGATGGCAGAGAGGAGGAGGGGAAGGGAGCTGCGGTGCAGGAGCTCGAGCAAGACGCACCATCAGTACTGATGACTAGGCCAGTCACACCCGTGATGAGAAAGACAGATGTTTTGCAGAAAGTCAGCCACTGCCTCATATTACAAGGTATGAAAGCAGACAGTTTAGACGACATATTTTCCTCAGTCTTCATCCTTTGCTAGCCAGGACAGATACAAGAAAGTCAGGTATCATCTGTTTGCTAGAAATAATGACCTTCTTAGTCTTGGTGCCTCCTGAAGATCTTGTCCTGTCCATACTATCACAAGCATTCCCCGAAGGCAATAGTCATGTCACTGCTTCTGCTGCGAAAACAGCTGGAGGAGCAGATCAGCTCTTTACTGCTCCTGAGTTTTGTTTCTACACATACTCACACAGATCTCTTCTGTGGGTACCAGAAGCTCCAGAAATGAGAATACACATTTTCAGATAACCCACACAAAATCAAATCAGAGGCAAGCAGATTACTGAAGCCGACAGAAGAATCTATAGGAGACTGGGGAAAAAAGCAGCCTTGGGATAAGATCCCATTGTGCACGAAATTCACTGCGGGACTGCAGGGGTGAAGGAACAGAGACCAGCATGCTTGGTATTCATGGCTTGGGTTTGTTTGGTTGTTTGGTTTTTTTTGTTGTTGTTGGCTGTTTTTCAGGTTTTAGGTCTACAACACCTCCTCCAACAAGTCATACAAGCTACTAGGCAGGGTGGTCTCTTCCCACACCTACAGTTTCAGGGTTAGCCACAAAGAGGAAATAGCACAGGTAGTAGCCAATCCTTATAGATATGAGGTTACACAAAGGCAAACAGCCTTGAAGCAAATGGTGTAGGCTCTTATACAGCCATATCACATGACAGAAGAGCAAGTAGGTAAGGCACCTAGAATTTTACCAGGAAAGTCCTGAAAAAAATTATGGATGCATAAACAAACCACAAGTCCAACACACAACTCTGCACATCACGTGTGCTGCACAGAAGGAAAACATATGCACAGAACAAGCATTTGTTCAGGACAGCTGGAACTTAGTCCAGTTTTCCTTCTCCCATTTCAGTAAATCCAAACCAGAACTAAAAAAAAAAAAAAAAAAGGCATTGCCTCTGTGAAACCATGGTCATCAGAAACAATAGTTTCCTAACAAAAACAAAACAAAAAAAAAAAAAAAGGCATTGCCTCTGTGAAACCATGGTCATCAGAAACAATAGTTTCCTAACAAAAACAAAACAAAAAAAAAAAAAAAAAAGGCATTGCCTCTGTGAAACCATGGTCATCAGAAACAATAGTTTCCTAACAAAAACAAAACAAAACCACAACAAAAAACCATCAGCAAAACCAAGTGGCCTCAGTCACTTAGTAGTTTAATGGGGACATGAAAATCTCGTGGATCAGACAACTGCCTACCAATGCAGTACCTAGACCTGAGCAATGCAGTGCCTTGGGTCCAGGACTGCCATGGAGCCACAGCACAGCTCTGGCTGGAAGGGGCTCAGGTGGTCTCTAGCCCAGCCTCCTGCCCAAGCAGGGTCAGCACTAAGCTCAGACTAGTTTACTCAGGGCTTTATCCAGTCAGTTCTTAAAGGCTTCCAAGGATGGAGATGGCACAGTCTCTCTTGGCAGCCTGTTCCAGTGCTCAGCTATCCTCACAGTGAAGCCATTTTTCCTTACCAGTCTGAACCTCTCTCACTTCAGCTGATGTCCATTTTCTGTCATCCTCCTGTCATATGGTAGTGCAAAGAGCCTTGCTCTTTTTCCCCACTCTTTTCTACAGACCTTTGCATCACAGCATCCCAACGCTAGAGGAAAATTAAACAGGATACTCCAAGTCTCAGCAGTTTAAAGATGCTCTCCTTGCTTCACAAGCCACCACATGCTTAAAAGCATTTTGCCACAGCTGAAGACCCTGCCTACATCCAAAAACAGGGGCAGCAGTCAATAGCTTCGGTGCAGAACAAGGGCATGTGACCTTCCCCCTCTCTACTCAAGATCAGCCCATCTCACACGAGGGAGCACTCACCTTACCTCTGCAGCCAACTGCCACTCCAGCAAGAGCTGGGAAATGAGTGCTCCAGGGTGTCACCGAACAGCCAGGGCTTGTCCTGCAAGAGAGGAACTCACCCAGCACGTACAGCTCCAGCTGAGCCACTACAGCGTATCAGCAATATTGCTCTTTGCCCCTATGCTGTGGGGGAGAAGCCTCCACCAACACCAACTCACCTCCCTCCTGCATCTCTGCTCGGGACACACCAGACTTTGCAAGGAAGGAAGGCTGAAGCTCCCCACGCCACGCGCCTGCCCAAGGCTCCCAAAGAGGTTATCAGAGCCGCCTGGTCTCTATTTCTCATCCCATATGACTAACAGATTGCATGAAAGGACAAAGCCAGCCCCAGCGCAGCTGCAGAGGAATGTTTTTCCTTGGCAGAGAGGAAAGAGATGAAGTGGGTGTCACATTTTTCCATTACATTTTTGCTTGTCACCACAGCAAAGCCGGATCACGTACAGAAGATTGAAAGCCGGTTAGCAGCAGATGGGGGGAAAAAAAAAAAAAAAGTGAGTAGTTTCCAAGACAGAGTGAAGGCACAGAAAAGTCACTGGCACTACTAAGCTACACATTTGGACGGATGGCAGCTATGGGGACAGCTCTAGCAATTCAGGTCTATCCCATTTAACCAAGCTTTCCTTATTTTCTCACATTGCTTCTGTGCTTCCCAACTTGCTCTCATGAGAGGGAGCACTCCTTATTTGACAGAGCATTTTTATCCTTCCTGCACTCATTTAGCACTGATATAACTCAATGCAGTAACTCTTTTCTGCGGTCACAAGCTACGTTTGACAGGTCACAGAGAGAATGACAGTCCCAGCTACAAAGAGCTCAGTATCTCAGACTGGAGACAGCAGACACAATGCCCACCTCTGCTACACCTTATTAAACCTCACCATTTTTGACTTGTCTTCTTTACTGCCTATTACTCGCTTAAGTGAGGTGAAAGGGTAAGATATTTGCCAGTAAAAATGTGGCCATAAGCCAAGCTTATGTTTCTCATACCGTTTCTCTCACTTTCATACAAGACAAAATTTCGCAGCCAAGACAGCCTCCACTTTTCACCAACGCTCGGCATCACGGATGGGTGGCAGTACCATCGACCGGATCCAACATCAGTGCTTCTTTGAAGCTCAGGTCTGTCCATTGCTCTGCTACATATCCACACTCTTCTCAAACAACCCTTTTTCCTACTGATCCTTGAACAACTGCCTCCTCCAGGTAATCCCCTTTCTTTCCAGTGACATCCAAATAATAGTCCACTGGTATCAAATAAATACACACACATCAGGATTACATCTAAGCACAACCCATAAAGCTACCCAGACTATTCCCACCGCACATTCCTTTAGCCCAAAAATGCAGTTCCACCACCTGTTCCCCAGTCAAATATTCCTACCTGCCCTCTCACATCAGCACCAGTACCTGGGCTGCTACAGGGTAAGCTGCATCAGGGAACTGATAACCCTTGAAAGCTAATTTCTTGCAAGAAAGTCATTTTACAACTGGATGAGCTCCCAGGCAGCTGCCACAACAGCCTGAGGTTACATCCAGGTGCAGAACCGCACTGTCAGGTCTTGTCACTCAGAAAAAACGCAGCCAAAGGGCATCCAGAAAGCATGATTTCTCATCTCCATGATTCAGAGAGAGATGAATAGGGAGCAACAGCAGAAATGAACGTGCCCTCCCTGAAAAATGAGATGCAGAGCTCTATCGCGAGAGAGCCCCTCGGGGATCCACCCAGAACCCATCTCCCTTGGAAAAAGGAGAGCTGCGCTAGGGAATCGGAGGAATTAAAGGGAGGACCTCATAAGCTCAGGGTAGGCAGCCAATGCAGCCTGTGAAAAATGCCACCCGGCGAGGTTAGTCACCCTATCTGACTGACTATCAATAATTGCTGAAGTCTCACCCACAAAGCGATCCTTCTCCAAAAGGGAGAAAAGCAGCCGAAGACTGAGGAAACAGTCTGTCTATCTCCAAGTGCAAAGCCAGCCAGATAACTCGCCCGGTCAGAGGGTGACTTTCAAAGGACCGTCTCTTCACTTTCAAAGCAACCACCAAGTATCTTAGAGGTACCTTGGTAGCAGAAGCACCAAGGGAAAACGAGCCCACAGTGACAAAGACCGCACAGCGCTTTGGAGGGACAAGCAGCTAGCAAGATGCAGCACAAGCTAGGTGCCGCAGTCCTTACTCAGAGCCCTGGGTAGGTCTTCAGCCCTTGCACGAGCAGGGTGACAGGCACTGCGTTGCAAACAAGGTGCTAGCTCATGAGGCAGGCATCCCCCTGCTCCTGCCGTAGCGAAGCTGAGCACATCCACTGTAGCTTAGCTCTGCAAAAAAAGCCTGTTAAGGGAAGCTTACAAGCCCCCCAGTCCAGAGGCACCCCCTTGTGTCACCACAGCACAGTCCTGCTGCGCACAGTGGCTCCTAAGGCGCTGAAGCTATTTTATTCTGCAGTAGTTACTCCCCTCCCACATCTGTCGGACAGCTCGGACATAAAGTGGCTTTGTCAGGTGGTGGTATAGGTGACAGCCACACAGCAAGAAGCAGAGACAAGCTAAGAGACAGCCAGAGCTGGTGGTACAGTGGTCAAAGGCCTATTTGCTTTATTTTTATCTTTATTTTATATTTATTTTTATTTGTCACAGCTGGCCTGAAGATGATCCGATCTCACAGCATACAAGTAAAAGTACGAAGGCAGACTTGTCAGGGAGGAGAAATACGGCACATATTAACTGCTGCAGTTGAAGTCAGAAAGCAAGAGGGACACAAAAAGATCAAATTAAAAAACTGCACAGCCCCAGCTGGGATCTGCAGCTAGTCAGATCGGCCTCTTCAACAGACGATTATAAAAAGTGATACTGCTTTAATAAAAAACTGGTCATCTCCCCCCCAACCACCCAGGATAGTGGAAACTTACTTAACCCCCAGCTATGAAAGACCCCAAAGAAGGGACTCTTTACAGTGCGAACAAAGACCTGCAAAGACCGCAAGTTCCCCCCATCCCTGTAGATAAGTTAAACAACTCCAGACACAAGAAAACCCTGTCTGGTAACACCGTGAATGAAATTCCTTTACCCCAGCTATCGTGCAGGACCTGCTCCACGCTTAACAACGACTAGCCTTCCAAAATAAGGAAACATTTACAGAGGACAGTGCAGATCAGTCACGTCCATCAGGAAAAAAAAAATAGTATTTTTGTACATTAAACACTGGCTCATTCTTATCTACCATGCTCCAAAGTGAGTCCCAGTACAGACTAACATTTTTTCCAGCTCCCATCCTCACTGCAGATCAAGCACTTCACTATACAGTTACAGCCAGTCCAAATGAAACCACCCAGCAACTCAATACCCTTATTTTTCTAATTTTAACTGTCAGAAAATACGAGGGTAAAGTTTCAGAGTATCCACTTGTGTTTATCTGAGCTTTTAGAAGAACTGTGGATCATTTAGACCTATTACGAGTACCTGACATACCGTTGGCACACTGAAGTGGCTTTCTTATTTAAATTCGTGAAGAAAATGGGGCAGGGGGGCGGGAAATGGCTTTCAGTGCAAGGCAATGAATACAACTAGTTTCGCTGTTCAGCAGTTGTGACCTTGATTTTTTTAATATAGAAAGGCAATCTCAAAACTTAACACTACTACTTTGTGTGAAGTCTGTATAGAACTATTTAAAAATCTCACTTTAATATTTTTCCCTATTTACTGACGGATTTTGGCAAAATCCCTGAAAGTACTAATTTCACAAATATTTCACCTGAAGTTAGCTGTCTGGTCCTCCATATGCAGGTGTGTAGAGAAGAAAGAATGAGAGATTTCAGCTTTCTTGTTAGAAGGCAACAGGCCAAACCCTACTTTTAAATAAATGAAGTACCTTCCCCCAACCAAAATAAAAATAAAAAAAAAATAATAATGGATCAGACTATATTGACGCCAGATTTTAAAGAGCGCTACATGCAGCCACCACAAAATAAGATACAGCCAGCTCTACGTCCATACATGCTGCGGTAACCGCAACTTTTAATTAAATACACACAGGTTGTAAAAACCAAGCCCTGCTGTCCATTTACATTAACTACTGCCACTGCCATACTCCAAAAACTAGAGGCAATCCCTGGCAGCTCATTCAGAGGCAGCATTTCTGCAGAACTCATTAGAACACGAAGTAACAGCAACCATCGTTTTTGTGGCAGAGGAAATGAGTCACGGCAAGCTCCCTGTGAGGTTCAGAGGCTTGTAACGGGCAATTTTTATCTGAGGAAAGGAGGCCGGCTCAAAGTTTCCCCAACTCATCTTAGTTGACAATCACAATCCTGAACACTAACCTTCAGGGGCGGATTGTTTTAGTTTTGCTCTCGCAGGTGGATGGCAATTTGGTAGCCGAGGCCTGGGACACCTCCTCCGCTCATGCCGACCTACACTGCACCCATATTCCAGGGCTGAGCTGTCCACAGCATCACCGGCGACACGGCAACAGGCTTGCTGAGCTCAGACACCGCTGAGACAATGGCATCAGCAATGTGGTATCTGAGGCATTTCAATTTTTTCATGTGAGCTTCAAGTTCAATAGTCAGGCTCTTTAAAGAATAAGCAATTTGGGCTACTTAACATTTGAAGTATCCTCCAGTTAACCACTCATCATCAAGACACCCACGACATGACATCTGGGAATTCAGTCCTAAATATTTAATCCAGCCGCTGGCCCCATGTACCTGTAGGGCAGGTGCAGTTCTACATCTGCCACGCCAAGATCATAGTCATACTTACATTCAGCTGCATTTTGCTACCATCTGGAAGCAGCAGCCAGCAGCTAATGTGTTAAAATAACCATGAAAATGGGGGGAAAAAGAGACTGCCTCCTCAGTATTAAATAAGGAGGTTTTAAATGTCAAAGGTTCGTAAGAACCATCTGCCTTTCAGCTGTCATCCAGCAATGGGACAGGTAGTTGGCATTTCACAGCGTGTTTTTCAGACTTATCCATCTGCATCAGATCTGGCATTTGTCACGGAAGATGCCATCCCAGCTGGGCCGCGTACAACCGCGGATCAACGCCAACGGAGACCCACGACCGCAAGCAGAGCTCTCCCACTTCAAGCCCGCCTGCATGGTACGGGAAGTAACAGCAGCGGCCCAAAGGTGAAGAGTTTGCAACCTGGCCGCACTTCTGCTCCCTTTGGGTAGTGGCAGGCTTTGCGCTTCCTTTCTGCTCGACTGCCAGGAAAAAGAAAAATCATATAAGAATAATAATACCTTGCACAATGCCAGGGTACGGTATTACTGACACACAATCATAACAAGCTACAGGGCATATGAAGATTATATACGCAGACACATCACATGTGCCATGAACACACCTCTGGGAAACCTTTCAGCCTTTTCTTAGATGGGGGGAAACTAAGCCACTCTTGAAAAATAACCGCTATAGAGCTATCTGGCACCCAGGTGATTACTATAAACCGTGAAGACTTTAATGAGCCACCTCTAGGACTGCTGCCTGCCAACGCCAGAGCTGAGCTCCTCGACGTCCCAGTTTCTCCCAGCACAGACGATGACATCACCGACAGCACCAGCGGAGCGAGGGAACCGCTCCTCATGCTGCTTCAGGCACTGGTGAAATCATCAGCTGTTAAAGAGAAATGTAAATCCCCGGGGAGGCTAGATTTCAGCCCTGGTAATTAAGGCAGGCTGGAACAGTTTAAAATAGAGGTTGAGTATTTAAGCGTATGCATACTTTCACAATTGTCTACTAGCTTCAAATCAATCAGAGCCAGGAACAGCCTTTATGGTCGTAAAAAGGTTAAAATTTAACTTAAAATACACAAAAGGCAGCTGGCACATAATTCTCACCTGTGCCTGTGTGCACACACAGGTCTGACTGCCAAACTCTCCCCTCAGTCATCATCATCTCCCTCCTCGCCCTCGCCAGCCCAGCTCACGCTCCTAGGGCTGGGTGACGAGCCCAGGTACCTTTCCTAAGCCCACTCACAAGTTTTCTTGAATGCAGACTTGCACATCCAGCTGTGAGACACCTCAGGAGTGCGCAAAGACCAGAAGATGCCACAGGGCACGTCT